ATGTATAGTTATTATGTGTAGTTTTGCGCAATTAGTAAAAACAGGTGTCCGAAAACTTTTGTCTAGGGTGTGTATATTCAATCCATATTTCTTTTATGATATTTATAGCTCGAATCTTTCTTCCAACCTCCCTTGCACATTTAAGTCTTCTAGTTGCATTTTCCATCCACAATTCATAACGATGAAATGCATATTTATCTTCAAAATTATAAGAAGCAGATTCAGATTTTTGTTTAATTTTTGTATATTCTTCATAACTTACACTGCAGAATTCATTTCCGGAACAAGAGAATTTCCAATGTTTCTCCATACCTACATGATCATAATTTCCAATATTACTAGTTCTTGGACCGGTATATACTAGCTGGTTACAAGAGAAACAGATTGCTATTCCTATCGTAGGAGCATATGAGGTTCCATCTGATAATTTTTTCGATATTCTAGCTTCTAGATATTTGTTGCTTTCACCCGGAAAAAGATCATTTTCTCAAAAATACATCAAACGAGCCCAAATTCGCGATTTCCAATCTCCAGGAGTTTCATCAGTACGAACTTGTGGCATCCAGCAATATTCAGTCCATTCTTTAGGAGTACAACGACCATAAAAATATCTATCTACATCCATAATTGATTGTTTTTAACGTTTTTTAATGTTTTTATATATTATTATATGATTTATAGTGTATAGTGATTTAGGGTTTTAGACCTATTATTTTTATCAAGTATATGTTACTTAAAACGCGATTCATTTTTGTGTTGAGAAAATTTAGTAATACTGGCCGATATATGGGAAAAAATCGAAATATATATATATACACATTAATACGCATGATGTTTAACAAGAATCTAAACCATGTGTAGTTAATCCAATTTTGATATCCCTGCATATGATCGCACAAATATATCAACTGACCTCTTACACGTTCTATGAACTTCTAATAATAGCCAAACGTAAAACATATTATTCGAACACATAATAATATCTTCGTTTTACAATGATTTTTTTTGTGATACCGCTAAAATTATTTTCTATCGTTGCATATATAATGTTAATAATAAAGCCTTTTCCTTACTGTAGATAGCTTTTCCGATAAGAAAAAATACAAATGAGACTCAAAAAGAATATGAATGAGGAAAGTTTATTGTTCTTTATCAGTAATAATATCAAAATTCATATGTTATGGAACTTGAGATCCGAGATCGCCAAAATTTGTCTTATTTTACACTTTGAATGAGAGATCGCCAGAATGGAAGGTTTAATTTCCCATAAAAGGTGAAATATACTTTCCTCTTTGCGCTTGTGATTTTAATAGAACTGCTTTATGGGGCAGAGATTCCGTTAATTGCATTTTATTATTATACCATTATGTTAATCTCTTTTTCTAACAGGTTTTCAGATTTAGCAAATGTAACAATATAAATAAACCGGGTTTGTGAGGTATCATCTTTAATTTTATCAAATTTTTTTTACAAAGGTAATACATTGTTTATTATCAGAGCCGTGTACTTTATGCATCGACTTATGAAAAGCGAAATTCTACTTATTATAAATCTTTGTATTTAGGAAAAGAAAAATGGATGAAGACAACAATAACAATAACAATAATTATGTTAATATTGATCTTAATTGTCTCGTCTTACGTGAACATGCATTTATGAACGGACCATTTTATTTTTTCAGAATTCACGTTTCTAATAGAGATGATGTTAACGCAATAATAACTCAAGTTCAGGCTAATTTACCAAATGGATTAACTAATGTTCCTTATCGGCTTCGTAGATTGAATCCTACCACCGGGGACTACCTCATAAATATGAATCAAGATAGTAGGATCTATGACCATTTCAGCGCGAATCCTGATCAAAATGTTATTCACGTACTTGTAGAGCCGTTACCAGAAAATAATTAGTTTTTTTATATTCATATCATGTAATAGTGATATATTTTTTATTTTATTTTTATGTTGTTATTTCGGTAACATTTTTTATATATCAATAAAGGTTCTATGTAACCATTTGTCTCAATCTAATTATGTGGATGTCCATGCTTTATTTTTATCAAAATCACGTGTGCGTGAACAATTGTTCACGCCGATCACTTTTAGCAAGAAAAAAAAATTGTCTCATACTTTGATATAATACGTCATTATACCATAAGATAATAATATGTCTCGCAAATCTAAAAATAACAGTCGAAAAACTCAAGGTAGATTCACTGATAACCCTACACAGTATATGCAATTTAAGAATCGGGATAAGTACATACACATCATAAGTGAGGAGCATATAACTATCATAAATAGATATGAAGACAGTGATCACGAAGAGGTATGTATATACCTCGAGGCAAATAATGATAATTTCATTTATTAATAATATGCAACTAACTTGTCAGATTTATGAAATTTATGTTAAGGGATGATTTGTTCGTCTATTGTTTCGGAAAAATTACCAGTGGCATTTAGCGATCGGGAACTCATTCGAACATTTGTAAATTCTTTATTGTGCCAGAAATGGACGACATTAAGTCCCCTATCCTGTAGCTTACTGCAAGGCCAATATGGGTCAGTTACAATAGTATCCTCGCGAGAAAAGTGCACAATCCAAACTTCTAGAGGGCAAAATTTTTCAGCATATTTAAAAACCTGTTCGAAATGTTTCTCCAGTTGTGGCGGGGATGCTGTTGCCAAGAGTTCGAGAACAGCTACAGGATAGGGGTCGTCACTTTTCTTTATTGTAAGATCGCAATAAAGGTGATGGTAGTCTCCATCTTCACAAATTTGCTCGAGATGCCACTGGCTTGTAATTTCAAAATTGTGTACCTTTGCAAGCCAATTTAATAAAATCCGATACATTTCGGTGTCATAAACACTTTCTCTGGGAACTTTCTCATTAAATTTAGAATCAACTCGCAAATTGTTTGAATTTTTATATGCACGAGTTGATCCTAATGCAATTGTCTTTTGGTCAAGTGTACGGACTGCTAAGTTCACCACCTCAAGAATATCCACAGTTTTATTGGCTCGCAAAGGTACGTCTTCATCTGGAAGAAAGCAACTAATTTCTGGAATTATAAATTGTCTTTTTTTCGGTAAAGAATCCATTGTATCCACAGCGCTTCGTTTTTTTCTCATTACAGATGATGATGACGACGATGACGACGACGATGATGATGACGATGATGGTGATGACGACGACGATGATGATGACGATGATGGTGATGACGACGACGATGATGATGACGATGATGGTGATGACGAAGATGATAATGGTGATGGTTTAGACTTGATAGCTTTATCCCATAAGCTATTTACTTTTTTAACATCAGCCTATTGAAGGTAAAATTGGGTGAGAAATATTTCTCAATAAGCATAATCAGACAAAAAATAAAGATTGGATGGCGGATGCAGGAATATTCCAATAGTTAAATTTTTGTTGACATAAAGGAAGGTACATAACCAATTCCTTCTCCAGAACCAGTAGACCTTTACCAAAAACTTATATTGGAAGATTCCATGAAGTTTACTAAAACGAATTTAATAAACGCATCCAATTCAGCACTTGTAAGAGTTGGTATACTCCACCCCCATTAAAACGAATTTAATAGGTACAAGCACCTGGCTGTGCCCCATCTGTCTAAATTTGTTATTCTTATTATACTTACTTTTTTATTTTTTAACAGATTCTGAGCAACATCACGAATTTCTTTAGACATATAATTATCATTGCTAATATTGTATAAGGTAGTAAAAAAAATATGATGTGATTGCATTTTCTCGGCGTGCTCGTAGTTGTTAATGATTAAATCAGCGTAATGATGAAAAGACCACCTTTCACATGGAAAAAATTCGAAATATTTGATATATGGGATATTTTCAGTGTTTTCTCGAACGAGGCAGATAGAAGTATTAGACATATTTTGTGTTAGCAATTATTTGCAAGGAAAATATGGTTGAAAATCACTTACAGTCTATAAAAATCAAGAGACGCGTTAAATCCACTAAAAACGCGTCTTAACAATCAGATGGTCGTACAGTTATGCATACAGAATACCTATTCCAGTTGATGAAGATGATGTAGACATGTTTAGTGATTGATTTGTTAGTAAATGTAAGAGTATATAAAAATATGAATAAAAAATTGTACACAGTGAGTCTTGGTACTGGATATTGTGAAAATAGGGAAAGGAAATGTTAGCGGATCTCTAATAAAAGTCTCGGTTTAACGGATAAATACTCAGAACCGCCTATAAGTAAATCGTCTCGGTTTAACAGATTTACTAATTAAATCTTGAATTAATCTCGGTATAACGGATTTTTGAAATTTTTGTTATAATTGCCCAAATTGTCCGTTAAACCGAGATTCACTGTGTAGCAAACAAAGAATATTTCGTAAAGTTTTCATGAAATCGATATACTGTCCTTTTTAAACCGTTTTCGTTCATCTCTTTCTTTTGGATCTATAGAATGAGTAATGTAGAGGAATAAAAAATGTAAATGCATTTACACCAAGAATCATCTAATAGTGTGACTTTGTGTGACACCCTTATGATATTCATGAATACAAACCCTAATGCACGAGGTAACGCAAACAGGTTGTGCATAATTTATATAGTCGCACTACATATTTCGGAATCAGATTTCCTCATTACACTATAATAAGATTTTTTTTAAGATAAAAAAATTTTGGTCCCTACATAGTATGTGGTAATCAAGATCGTAATGCACAATACAGAAGATTACCACACAAACAATTCTAAAGATTAATAAAAGTCCTAATATTGAAAATTTAAATATAAAACCCAAGGATGATTTATTAGGAGAAGAAGAATCAAATATATAATTAGATTTTAGCAGAAATGTGCCATTATTGTTTTAAACACAATCAATAAAATACTTTATGGTGAATTTTAAATTATAAAATTGTGTTGTGATTTTTCATTGGTTGATCTTACTTGATTTTCTGTGCTACGATAATAACCAATGATAGGATTTTTATCTATGCTGAAATACCCTTAATCGAAAATGTGAAGAGTTTAAGGGATACAAAATTTTTAAAAGAATTCGTTGATAATAAAAAGATACAAGAATAATTAATATTTTTTTTTACGAAAACTGGCAGAGTTGCAAGGGAGAGAACGCACGGCCCCTAGACCATTTAATGTACGTCCCTATACTTTGGCTCTACCAGATAAAAAACTATTTATTATTACTATTATTATAATCTATTTCTTCCTCATCACTAACTTCATCAATATTATTATTATTATTATTATTATTATTGCTAGATGCTGATTTATTTTTTCCTTTAGTCTTGAGCTCGATCCAAGCTTTGATTGCTCCTATAATCCTGATGTCGGGTTTCGTTGTTTGATTATAATAATTTTCCACCGCTTTGTTCGATATAACTTTTATTTTCTTCTCCTTTCTAAGATCACTTACGACTTCGGCAATCATATCGGCTTTAGAATAATCCTTTTCTCGCATGGTCTCGTCGAAAATGGTTTTAAATTCCTGAAAGAGTGGATCTGAAAACGAAGTACGTCTTGAGCCTAATACGATACAAAAATATTAATTCACTATAAGTCTCTCAAAGTAATAGATATTTATTTATACATTGAAATAGCGAAGCCTTTAGTATAACTAAAGATCTTACCTCGAGAAGTACTTGAAAAATTGCTTGAATTATTATTTGAAAGATTACTTGAATTATTATTAGTTAAAGTATCTTCTTCCTGGAATCTTTGTTGGAACTCTTCATAAAACAAAGAAATTCTTTCGGTAAGATCATCTATTTTATTATAGATTTCATTAGATTCAATTTTTCGTTTCTCTTTTAATAATTTGAATTCCATATCGATTTGTTGTTTGAATATATAGAAAACGAAGCATATGATGACAATGAATAGGTATATAAATAGCTTTTCTCCAAATATCAATGTTACGATGAGGATAAATATAGGGATTAAAATAAAATAACTCTCTAATGGTATTTTTGAGAGAGATTCGAAAAATTCAGTTGGCGTCATCTAAAAATAATATCAGTCAGCCAGGTGGTTTATTTATAATATAACGAGATACAAGTAGTTTACATACCTTCGATTTTGACAAATGTAAGAATGATATTTTAATAGTTTTGCTAGCACAGCTATGATTTAATTTTACGCAGTTATAATTGGTTTATTTAGTGAATTTTTTATTCGAATGTTATGGGGTATAAAAGCAATTCAAACAAATAATTCATCCCGTTTTTATACATATCTAAAGATTTCTCTGATGAGATTAATCGATCTATTGTGGATACACATAATTCCAAAGATCGTGAATCACTGGTTTTCTTGAATCCCATTAAAAATTTATCTACTATGGACGATCTATTACCTGCGCCAATCATAATTATTTGTAGATTTATTTTGATAGGTGGAATCGAAAACTTTGGCACATCTCATACGACGCACAGGCCCTAATTCGATGTCAAAAAATAAGCTTAATCGTTTTTTATACAACAACAATAAATACCTCTTATTTATTCGTAAAATAGAGAAGATTAATACGCATTTTCAGATAAGAAATATTTATTATGATAACATTGAAAATTATTTTTATATGCGACTAAATAGTTTTATACTATTATTTTAGAATGTAAATGACCCATCAAAATCCGGTTCAAGATTGCAATTAACTTTTTTCGTTTTAGGCTTGACTATTTTTCTTGCCAAGAATGATCGGCGTGAAGATTCTTCACGCGCACGTGATTTTTTTATTTGAAATTAAAGACATAAATCAATAAAAATATTTCAAGACGTATACAATATTCTTCCGAAATTTTTTGAAAAATTATATAGATTGATATTAAACATGCAATCTAAAGACGATGAGTTGAAAACTCAAGTTTCTGACTCCTCATTGAGAGAATTGAATTCCAGGCTCGTAATCGAGATTGATAAGCTTAGAGGAGAGAAAGATTCACTTATAAGTAAAAATACCGAGCTCTTGGCTAGAATTGTAGAATTAGAACAATCTATAAAAGAAGATGCTGAAAATACAAAGTTAAGAGACGCTGAACTTAATACCAGAATATTCGAATTAGAACGATCAGCAAAAGAAAACGAAGAGCTTAGAAACAGAGTAGCGAAATTGGAACAGCACCAGTACATCGATACTAATACCATATCGTTAGATGATGAAACAAATTCTAACGATACTTCTGAACAGATAATCTCATGTAATGAGGAGTCTAACACATTGAATTCTGACATATACCAGGATTCGGCAACCACTACATCTCCTGCAGAAACCATATCATTTGCTTCGCAAAGCAACTTACGTCGCCTGGAAGAGAAGGTAGAAAATGAATTTTGGGATCAAGAGTTACTCTCAACTCCTGAGAACACTATCCCTAAGATTTCTATATCACCGAATAAGAATGCTTCCATACACAAAGCAGAGAAATCATTACTTAATAAAGATCTAAATATTCAAGATACAAAACTTTCTTCTTCTGAATCTAAATCGTCTATTATCTCTTCATCCAATCAGGAACAAAGTGCTATTTCTTCCGAAATAAAAATTCCCTATAATCAAAAGATTGAACAAGGTTTAATATGTGAGTTATCTACATTTATTAACGAGAAAAGCCTTTCGAATCCCATACCTGATAGACAAATTCTTGAAAACACGCTAGATGGAGATGATTCAACCCCAGGTTCTGCATTGCGTTTGGCCCATTTATTCGACAAGGCTAAAAAAACTGGCCAGAAAGAAATTTTACGTTGGTATTGTTATAGTGAGGAATTCGAAAAAAAGGTAACAGACATTAGCTTTAAAAACGAACTTAACGATCAAATGGCGAGAACACAGATTTATAATGAAATGGTTCCACTTCTTCCTGGCATTAAGAGAGAGTATTTGCGTAAGAAAACTCAAAAGGCTAGAAATATTTATACATTATTCAAAGAAATAGGAATAGATAAAATCAAACAAGTTACGTATAGTGCTGATGCTATTTCTAGTTTAACAGGTGTTCAAATCCAAAATATAATAAAGCTTTTCTCTGAAAAGCCTAATGTAGAATTAGTTAACGAGCAAGCTGAATGTCAAAAAGT